AGACTCAATTTATATCAAGATTTTGAAGAATCCTCTTCAAGTTTTTAAAGATAGATATAAAGCTCTCTTTGGCTTTTCATCTTCAAATTAATGGACAAACAAATCAGATAAATCAAGTTTTAGAATAATATTTGAGGTGTACTATCAACTATCATCAAGATAATTGAAAAACTTTTTTATCATTAGTAAAATTTGTATATAATAATTTGGTACATTCTTCCACTAAACAAACATAATTTTTTGCCAATTATGATTATCATCCTTAACTTGATACTTTTGACTTTTCAAAAATTGATAATCTTATGGCAAAAGATTTGACAAATTATTTATTAGAGCTACATGCAACAATAAAGGCATACTTAAAAGGAGCTAAAGAACAATAAAAGATTAATAAAAATGCCTATTGAAAGGAACAACTACAATTCAACGTGAGTAATAAGGTATAATTACTTCATTGCAATATGAAGACTATTCATCCTTGTGACAAGTTGGACTATTATAAGCTTAGACCTTTTTCTATTTGTCAATAATTCAATCCTATTGCTTATTGATTATATTTATTTATATTATATTATAACTATTTATAGTATATAAAAATTAACTAAAATAGATAATATATTTATAAGTATTGATTTAATTTAGAATAATTAATAGGTTAATTTAAAGAGAATTGATATAAGAAAATTTATTTTGAGGTTTACTTATGTTGATTATAGTATTTAAAATATATAGGATTTAAATATTTAGTATAAAATTTAAGGAAAATATTGAATCTCAAAGATAAAAATCCAAACCTTTAAAAAGCTTATTTGGAGGAATGAAAGTAAATTATGGATTAATGAAGGCTAAAAATAAAGATCTTTATCTCTATTAGTCAAATGCCACGTCTAATAGGCATTCAGCAAGCTATGTGCAACCATAAGAAGGGTTCGACAACTTCAAAAGAAGTACTCAAGAATCAAAAATAAATCGTGTAAGGTTTAGAATTTGGACTAAAATTTGCGTACAAATTTTAGAGGATTTGGAATTAAGGTGATGAAGTTATAGTCATTTGAAGTTAAGATATTTTCTTAAGATATATTGTTGTTATTTTAAGAATATAAAGAATTTTATGATAGATTTTAAAAATTAGGAGAGGCTACTACAAAGATGATTTTAAAATCTAGATCTTTTATGAAAGAACTTTTGCCTTTGGAGTTTGTATCAAAAAGTTATAGAGTGTTGAAAACAACACAGGTAATTCAAAGGCAATAAGTGAGTCATTTTGTTGATAGTAATGGTTGGAGCCATATCTTGAGCTTACAGATGATTTTTTGACTAAAAATTTTTAGAAGTGATGTTATTAGGTTAAAAAGCTATATATCAAAGTTTTATGGTAATTGAGTACTTGGTTTGTGAGATATAAAGAAATTTGCACATTAGTATATGTAAGCAAGGATTAAAAGCTACTAGTAGGGTTTTGGTGGTATCTCAAGATCCATAATGAATTTGTAGTTGAAATTTGTTGTGGTAGTTTTTAAAAATATATCAATAATTCATGTAAAATTTTGATTTGTTTGAATTGTCCAATTATGAGATATGAACTGTTGAAGTTTGGAAAAAAATCACCTTAAGGATATACAAGACTTTATAATATTTTTATCACAATTTTGATGATTATTAATACTTAAGACTAATGTATTGATGTAATTGCCCTTATAGGAAGAAATTTATATATAGACTTAGTATTTTTTTTTTATCTTGAGGCTTGGTTGAGTAATTAGTGATAGCCAGAAGCCCAATGCTTTTTTAAGGCAAATTCTCTCTAATCCAACACCAAAATCTATGAAAATCCACCTTATATTTCATATATCTCTTCTTGAGCCATATAAGACAACAAATACATCTTGCCACCCCTTCCTATAGAAGTAGATAATAATCAAGAATTTGAGGTAGAAGAAGTCTTAGATGCAAGGTGGTCTCAAAATAGATTAGAATATCTTGTTCATTGATGTAGATATGATATTAGTAAATGCTTGTTGGAGCTAGCAAAAATCTTGCAAATACAGTAAAGAGAGTTGAGGCTTTTTATCAACAACATCCATCAAAACCAAGATAAAAAATAGCAAAACTTTGCTAAAAAAAATAAGATTTAAAGAAGTTACAAAAGCTTCAACAATGATCAAATAATAGGGTGGTCTTCTTTTCCTAGTATAGAATACTATCAATGGCTAAGATGACCTATCAACCATCTTTGAAGAGAACAAAGATTAGAATATGTAGCTAATACAATTCACCAAATCTTGGATTTCATCAATATATGATGATTGCTCTTGATAGAATTTATTTCTAAAAAGAGAAGTAATGTCACGAATATAGAGATATATATATATATACTTTAGTAAATACCTATATAATTAGGTAGTAGCAGATAAAAATAAATAAAAATTAATTAATTTCATAATACCTTCTAGAGTGTATTGAACACAAAGTTCAATAACACAAGAGTGTATTGAGGATTTTTTTCTTTGAGATTCATGTCCTTAATACAAGGTAGATTAGCAAAAATAATATTATAAGCATATTAAGGTAAAAATAAAAGATATTTTTTGATAAAAATAATTTCAAATAATCTTAATTTAATATCTTATGAAGACCAATTGTGAGCCAAGGTCAAAGCAAAATCACAAAGGCATAAGAATAATTGCCTATAGCAATAGCAAGATTCTTTTATTTAATTAAATTAAATAAATAAATAAATAAAACTTATTAATAATTCTATGAATGTTGGTTTTAGAGGATTTGATTTTGTAATGATTTTCTAAAAGCTATGCAAGGTTTAAAATTAATTTAAGTGATTTTGCTTTTAAAAATTAAAATAGAATTTATATATTAAATTATTATATGAATTTTGTACATAATCTATAATTTATTTTATATAATTTTTTAAAAATTCTTATATTAAATTTGTATCTTAAATTGAACTATTTTATTAGAATTGAAGTAGATTAAAATTTTGATTTTTTGTATTTTTAATATTGGTGAAGATTTTTAAGATTATATAAAAAAATATTAATTAGATTGGAGTGAAATTTTATAAAATACTATTTAATTTAAATTTTGATATTAATGAAACTTTAAAAGCAAGTCAATAGTACAAAAATAAGATTTTGGCACTAGGAGCTCAACATTAAGGTTGAAAAAAGACATTTACCAATATCCAAGTAGATTATGTGGATATTTTTTTTAATTTTATAGTTCTATTTTTTCTAAATTTCTTAAGATTATTTTCAATTATAATGTTAATATATTTTTAATGTATACGTTAAAATAAATGATTAATTTAATAACTTCTAAAAAAATTATAAGATTAATTTAAAATAAAGTAAATTTTAATTAAGATTTAGTCAAGATTGATTAGGATTTTTTAAAATTTGATTAGGATATAGTAGGATTCAAATAATATTATTAAAATTTTATTAGGATTTTTTAAATTTAATTAGGATTCCTTTATGATCTATTTTTAGGATTAAAATTTTATTTTAAGATTTGATAAGAATATATAAGGTTTATTTGGAGTTGATTAGAATTTTATAAGATGTATTTAGGATTTTTTAAAAATTAATAAGATGTTCTTAAGATATTTAGGAGCTTTTTTTAAGTTGTTTAAATTCACAAAAAAATATTTTTAAAAACCTCATGCATTATTTTTGGTTTTGAAATCCAATTTTAAGATGAATTAAAAAACTTCCATATCTAAATACTTAGTACATTTCTTGCTTGAAATTTTCATCATACAACAACAATTGGCACTCATGACACTTAGTAAGATTAAGGAATGGGACCAAAAATAATAATAGATTGGCAACATGCAACATTATAAGAAAAAATATTCTAAAGTTGATTTAGATTATAAAACTTGAATTTTTAAATAAATAAATAAAAATCCTTAAAATATAGAATATATCATATAATTTTAAATTATAAAATTCTTTAGTTTTGTGGTAGGTCTAATATATATGTTGTACAAAGTATTTGAGTTGATCTTATAAAGTTTGATGCACTCTTCTCAATGCAACTTATATTTGATTATACATGTATGACATTCTATATATGGTGGTATGTAATTGGACTACTAAATATGTATTAAATATATTAAATATACAAAGTTAAGACTTTCAACTTTTAAAGATGATACTATAGTTAGAAATATAGATGTATAATAATCTACTAAAACTAATTATAGATAGATCCATAATGGTCCATATATACCATAAAATGAAATAAAACATGTTAAACAATAGGGAGAGGTTAATTTTGTGAACATATAATATAATGTAATTTTTCAATCATTCTTATTTCTTAGGGCCATCTTGCCAATCCTTAATTGTGACAATTCAAGCCAATTCTTTTCACAATTTGTGAAGATGTAGCAAGGCCAAGATCTTATAGACATTGCTCATGCTCCTCTATTAAGATCCTCGCATTAGAAACATGTGACAAGTGGTTACTAAAGCTTATGTCAACTTATATATTTCAAGAAACCATGGTTACAACATGTAATAATAGATACTTTACCTCTCTAGCAAATAACAATCTAAAAGCCAAATACACCACAAAAAATGATTTATTATGCAACACATTATAAATATAATACAAATTCTTCAAAACTTCTATAAAATATTGCTTAAAAATAAATGAAAAATACTACTAATTTCCAAATAAACAACACAATGAACATCACAAACAAACAAACAAACAAAAAAAAAAAAAAAAAAAAAAAAAAAAAACTATTAAGCTTGCTGAATTCCTTCATTCTCAAAGTCGAAATTCAAGTGACCAGTTTCTGTGTCTCACCAAAATCCCTAGCAATTGTCCATCACATCTACTGCTAAGCTTCTTCAGCCATATCCGGAATATTACATGTCATTAGAAAACACAATGGAATCAGCTCCACTAGTATTCTTGCAAGCTCCCCATAATTGCGAGAGAATGCTCAAGTGCAACCGGGCAGAAAATCATGAGCTTAAAACGGGTCACTATATTCCCTTCAGTTGCCGTAGAAGAGGTTGCATGATCAAGGGCTCAAACTACAAGTACCATAGCCGCTTCATCATTAAGTAGAAGACGTAACAAGGGGTCGATCTCAATTGCTAAGAAGAAAATGCAGCAAGTGCTGAAGTCTGACTTTATCATGGAAGTAAGCCTGCACTCAATTAAATTCATAACAACCGGCTAACAAAGAGGAGCATGCACACTATCCTCTTCACCTAATGAAACATGAGGTAGGAGATGGGTGTGGGAACAAACAACATCCCTATTTTGAGGGTGTTGATGCCTCCCTCGAACCCTGCTCGTGGATATTGTCTCGCTCCAGTCTTCCGTGGGTTACAACCAATAACCACCTTACTGCTGCACTGCTTAGACAGTTATCTAGTCTATTGCAATTAAACTTGAAAGCTGAGCGGAACTTTGATGTGGCTTAGATTCCAGTAGCCCAGCTGTATCAATTAACTTCCTCCGTAGCGGTCACGTTCCAGCAACGTCAAGTGTAGAATTCTGTCCAGCACTCTGCCTGCAGCTCCATGTGCGGGTTTCCATGGGGCAATGAACTAGCTACAAATTGCTGAAAACAAGTGTTGACTGAATGGTTGCCTGGTGATTCAAGAGTCTTACTAATTCTGAAAGAATATGGCAAAGATAACTCCTCCAGTACCATCTATCATCCTTCCAAAAAATGTGAGAAATGTAACAAAAGTTGTTCCATATCTATACTGTCCACATAATTTGTACTCTAGCATGGGAAACAACCAAGTGATCCAAAGGCTACTCCATATACGGCCGCGTCATCTGACAAACCAGTTCCCATAATGATCAAAGACACCAATAACGGCGTGCAAGCCAATGCTTATCAGAATAAAAAATGCCATATTAATGCAGCGATTGAACTGGCTTGGTGTCTTGGCTGTTCCTTGAAGGAGAACAATCATGCCAGAGCCAAGTGCACTGCGAAACCATTGCAGTGATGCGTCTCGATTGTTCACAAGGTAGAGCCACGTACCTGCGGTGAGGTAGACAATGGTGAGAAAAATGCCTATCTTTGACCATTTGATCTGTACAAATTCTTTGATAAGCGCCGTCCGTAGAGATTTAAATCCTGGAGCGTTCTTGATGGCACTCGATGCAGACTTTCCAAGTGCAACATATATTTGCATAAGCTCAGGATCTTCTTCAACCACCTTGGTCTCCAATTGTTTCTCGACCAATTTCATTACACTGTGCAGCCTCCTGGAGTTTTCATTTAAATTAGGGTCAGTGCCTTCTGCATTTAAGATCCCTGGAAAATAGCTTGATATACAATCATCGTCAAGAAAGGCTTGACAATTTTGAAGGATATAGTCACGATCCACAACATTAGCGTTGTATAAACCATGTGAAAAATTTTAAGTGCCCAACATTCCTCCTCAGGTTTACTCAATACCATTAAGTGCCACCCTTCTACCCCAACATTTGCAAATGTATAAGCCCAAGCAAAACCGCAATTAATCCCACAAACTTCGGAAATAATCAGTGCAAAGATTTCATCCTCAAACTTTTTGATAGGTCGATCAGGATCAAAATGTTTTGAATTGATTTCCAGGAGTCGTTTGTAGACTTTTGATTCCTTCCACATACTTATTAAAAACGTCCGACAATTGCTCACGCAATTTTGTTGATTTTCTTGAACTTTCCACATTGGCAACCACTTGGGATGACCTGTTTTCCTTGGGACGACGCCTTTGTCTTGTAGTGCGATGTTTAGCTAATTCCGATTCATCGGAACTTCCATCAGATGTTGTGTCAGGTGCATACCTCATCGAAGATGTTTCTGGCTTTTAGTGTTTAATATAATCTAAATCTATGAGTTCTGAATAGTCACGGAGTATTACTCCAAAATTCAAAAGAGTACTGTCGTATAATGCAGTTTCACTGTCACCGGACGATTACCCATGCTTGTAACCGGACGATTACCCATGCTTGTAAGCATGTTACCAATAACCTGAGAAACAATCTGAGCAATGAGGACTTCTTTAATGTGTTGATGCACCCCTCCTGTGCTTATCCACCAGCAATCTGCACCAAGAACCAGGACCCAAAGGAACCCTCTCAATACTTAGAGAGCATTTCTCAAATTGTGTTTTAGCCATTTCCTGGATCCTTGCTGAGGATAATCAATCTGCACTGGGAGCCATTGTACTAAACAAGCAACGGCCATAATATCCATGAAAATCCAGATAAGCTGATAGCAAACTTCATATTCTGGGTCTTGTAACTTGGTTCTGTCGTCGTATTTTGCAATGCTTGTGCCTGGCATACACTTACAATAGTAGCAAAGCAGATCACCCAATAGAACATAACAAGCCTGCAAGACATTGAATGTTATGATGTTACAAATTGGCAAGCCTGATACGAGATTCTACAGTTCTAAGTACCAAGATGAGTCCCAAATTTTAGCTATTCGTATTGTGCCGACAAGAGACTTTTGAGACAGTTTTATTGAAAAATAGGGTGGATGCTTTAGGAATTAACTTTGAAAGGTCGAGTTCGGTGCTACATTGGAACACGCCCTACCTCCACTACAATTCTCCTACCTTGATCAACAATGCCCAGATCAATGCTAGATTACCGCAACTACGAAAAATTTAGCAGCATAAAACGCACCTCGCAAGCCGCCATGGCGCTGTCGCGAACCCCGCCAACTCGGTAAAAGCATCGCTTTAGCGCGCGCTTTAGACTAGGTGACCCTGAAGTTCTTTCGGGCACCCGAATGGTCTCCAAAAGTGCTTGCACACCAGATAACGCATACAATCTGTCGACGATAGCAGCGAGAGTTGGATGTTGAGTGGCATGTGAGCGAAGAAGGGCCACCAAACAGCGAGCCAGAGTATCAGCAACCATTCAGAACAGAAAAACAAAAACAAGTCAGAGATCGGCTTGATGTGAGACCTGGCAAGAGCCACGGCGTGAGCAACGAGGACATGATAACTCAGGCATAAGCTGATAGAAGAGGGGAAATCGATTGCGTACGCTTGAACGGGGAGAATAATTACGCGACGACAGCAAGTCAACTTGTACCGACATTCATTTACCGACACGGGAAGGATGTATGATACAGTCAACGGTGTCACATTGAAAGGCCATCTAGAATCATCAATAGGTGAAACTACAAGACTGATTTTGAAAACTTGTTATTCATTCAAACAGCCTCCAGAAATCATTCATTTCATTCAATGCATCAACCAATTGCATTCAATTCCTCTTGCATTTCCTTATCTATCAATACCTCTTGAAAATGCAAATCACTCTATCAAGGAACCATCCAAAAACTCAGTGTCTCTTGTCGCCTTGGTTGGCAAGGTGGTTCGTATCTCAAAAATATTTCAAAAACATTCTATGAAATTTCGATTACTCTTGTTTCAACTACCTGGTTCTAGACTCGTCTCTCATTTGTGTGCATTGTTTGTTTTTACAGAAGGGCATAATTTGCGCATTTTAGGTCGGATCAGCGTAAACGTCAGTGCAAGCTGCCTTGCTCGGAGAAAAGCACAGAATTGGTGGCTGGCGCCTCATCTCCTTCAGGCTGTCCATCATTCGCTGTTCGAAAGATTAGGAAGTTCAATAGTAGGGTTAAATGTTGTTGCGCAGGTGAAATTAACCGGGAGCGTAGATTACACATTACAATCTGCATGAATTTAGCAGGGCTTAATCGAAGGCTGCATTCTGTTATTACTTCCTATGAATGCATCAAAGCACAAGAATACTCTCCGTCTGTGTGCCCTTGTGGAGGATCTGCAACAAATGAAGCTGGGAGAGAAACTGAAATTAACGGCAGTGGAATTAACTCAAGCAGTGGGCAGCATTACCGAGTGGCATCTTGAGAGACCTGTTTATTAAGATTTCGATATCTAGCTCCCAGGCGATGATGTCTTCAGTGCTCTTAACACTCATATAGGATAGAAGATTTTTGGGTTAATAAGCTCACAGGAAATCTCGCTGTGTCGTTCAAGTGAGCGAGTATATGTGAGGAGGTAATCTTACCCTGTCGATTGATTGGCATTATGGCGCCTTTTTATCAGTGTTATATGTCTCAGGCGAACTGGCTAACAAGTTCCTTAACTTGTTACTTTTGCAGGTATAGTTGTTGCAGATCAAGCACAATCCGATCCAATAGTTTCAGTTCTGGTTGGGGGATTGTTGACAATCGGGTTCGCAACTACTGGATTACTCGTTGCAGTCGTCCAATCGACATGGCAAGTTATGCAGTGTGTGATCCCCATGAATTCAGCTTGCTAATCTTCCCAGGTGCAAATGAACAAATCAAATGAACCCCCGACTGCAATCCGCTAGATCAGTACTCGACACAATGTGCATTTCATGAAAATTTTGATGGACCTTATCTATGTGTGTTTTTTCTTGCAGAGTTTGTGGGATCATCCTTTTCATACATGCTCTCCTTGAATGGGGCACTACACAGTACTATGTGGCCTGTTTCGCAATCAGAGAACAAGATGGTGTTGGTGGATCGTATTGCACTACATTCTAAGCAGCTGTTCGAAGCGCTTGCCTCGTGGATAAGATTCAGCCACCGGAGAGGTGGCCCTCAAAGGCGACCGTCAAATTCATAGTATTTAAAGGCTTTCTATCATACTCAGAGACAGGTGGGAGATTTATAGGTGACTGCATGTGAACATCATCGACATTCACAAGTGCAGCTCCCTTATTTTACCTCGCATCATTCTGATTGTCGTATGTTCAAACTTGGTAGGATTCCTTTGAATGAAAACTTTGAGGAAAATTCCAACTTGCACTTCATTCCAGTTATAAATCTGTTGCAATTGATAATTGGGTTACTTTTGCAGCTTCTGTGTGGACCAAACATAAGCAAAAAAGGGGAATTACAGCATCAATCAAAGAAGAAACGAAAGTGGGGGATCGTGGGAAGGGCTGGAAGTGACAATTGTTACACTCGAAGGCACGGCAGTCGATAAAGATCACTAACTTGACAACCTAGCATCATTGTAGTTGATAATGATACCATCACACTAAGTTTGCATGATTTGCATTCTAAGTTGAGCCTTGTACCTAAAGATTCTACTTCGTTCGATGGAACCATCCACCGCAACTTGGACATATACTTCGACCAAGGAATTTGGGAGTTGAAATTTCAATCCAATGAACCATTCTCTTATCCAGGTTTTTAAGTGGTGTCAGATTGCCTGCTTTGTGCAACCACTTAAATCTAAGCTTAAGGCCGCAGGTTGCATCAGTCGCAGCAACTTTCTCCGGAAAATTCATGTTTTATTATGCTTTCAAGTTCACTATCAGAAGTGACAAAAAGTGATGCGATCAGGACAGTGCAGGCTGTTCCTTGAAGAATGAAGACAAATGGTGCTTAGGCCTGAGACAACTTCTGTAGTTTTCTTGTGCACTCCTCAAGCGCAGCTTAATCCTTTTCCTTGACAAGCCAAAGGCATCTGTTGATGCATAAACCGATACATCGATCCAGCGAGTCGCTCGGGGAAACAGATTTGTCATTGTCCTCAATACAGCCCCTCGGATTGCCCACTGTCATGTACACAGACAAAGTTTTCTTGCCGCCACAGTAAAACATTTTGGACATTGTGGGCTAATGCTATTATTCTTGTGTTAAATTCGAAGTTTAAGTGGGCTAATGCTATTATTCTTGTGTTAAAAATGGAAGTTACTCTGGGAAAAAGACCTGTGAGCCAAGGAAGTTTTGAGTTGCATCAAACTTCAGTTTATGTCTATACTCTTAAGATGTACTTATCAGCAAGAATGCTCTCTATACTCCAAAGCATGAAGATGAAGTCAAATATGTATGTCATGGATTCATTTTGAAAGACAGTCATCAGAAATAATTAAGGGGAACTTTTTATATTTTTTAATCAGATTTTTTAAGTGTTTCGTTTTATTTTATTTTTTAAAAGCTGTTGATCAACAGCATTCAAGTGAAATAAAACTTTTCTTTTCATATTTACATCATATGTATGTAAATACGTCTAAAAGTATCAAGAATCTTGATCCTTAGCGGTACTTCAAAATAAATTTAAATAACATACTTTAGATTCTGTCATATTGTGAAGTCAATTTTTTTCAATTAAAATCATGATATGCTGAATTCTCATTATAAAGACCATGGTCAAGATCATGATCAATGCCAAGCAAAGTATTCACCACTACAACTAACTAACTAACTAACTAACTAACTAAACAGTATATATATATATATATATATATATAATGAGGGATTTCAGACCACATAATACATCAAAAATATTTAGATATTCGGTAATCCGATTTTCTTGCTCAGATATTATTTATCCTCACAAAATACTAGTTGAAGTTAAGACGAATCCTGGCTGTTGCCAAAGTAACTGCCGCATCATGCTGTATGCCAATCAAAGTTTACAGTTGAGCAATTGCAAAACCCTAAAAAACCTCCGGAGGGCATTCAAGGTGTTTGTGATGGAAGACGATTCCATGAGGCATAATCCTGAATCCCTTAAACTCTCCTCAATCAACAACCAATTATTCCTCCCTTGGAGAGATTCTTCAATGCTTCGTTAACTATTGGGGGGGTTAGTGCGAGTGGTGGATGGGGAGTTGTTGCTGTATTTACCGTAACCAATATGCAAGGTACCATATCCTTCCGGCTGCAACAAACTCCTCATTTACAGTACCCAACATGACGCGGTACAGACGCATACTGCGGCAGTGGGTCCACTGGCGAGAGGATCCTTGTGGATTAGGCCATGTCCGCCACTAATCCCACGCTCGATTGCTCAATTAGTAATCACCGGAGCTGTGCTTACATACGTCGAAGCTGGTATATTCCGGTACTGTGAGGAGGGGGGGGGGGGTGGGGGTCAAGGGTGGAACAGAACTGCTCTAGTCCATCGATGCCTCGTCGAAATTTGCCTCGGTGGATTCGAAACACTGCTGCACTGGCGGTGTGGGTTTTTGTGGATTTCGGGGCACATTGTGTGTCTGTCCCGATTAGGGTTCCCACAATTGGGTTGCTCTCTCGATGTGGGTGATCGTGGTTGCTTGCTGTGTGATGAAGAATATTGCGACTGTCGCTGTGCATGAATTTTGCTTCGGTGCCTTGCGATCGGTCGCTTGGAATCGTCGACAGAAGTTTGCTGTTTGTGTCTTCTCTTGCTGTTTTCTTTGGTGGTTTCTGGTGGTTTTTCTTTTTTCTTTGTTCATGTTTTTGTCTTGTGTTTTTTACTGATCTGCATTGAATAGGAGTATCAAACAAACGAAGGAAGACAACGCAAACGATGTAGTTTGGACAAACCATAACTGAGCAGGAGGTCTCAACCTCAAAATTCCCTAAAAAGAGGAAAGTTTGTTCATCAACGACTCAATACAATGATGTTGTTGGGGGGCGGGACTACATTTGTGAGCATAAGACATATAGGATGTCATAGAGGAATTCTTGAGATAAATTAATAAATAAACGAATAACAAGAAAACAGTGGTTCAATGAGCAAGTGACATATTTGTGCTGAAAGATCTTATTTTACTGAAGCATTGGTTTCAATAGTTACTAATTATTGAAGTTGGAAGAACAGATGAAGCACCATCTGGAAGAATTTGTGTCTCTTTGATCTCTATTTAACACTTTCTACAAAAAATTGAGTTGATTTTCATCTCTTTCTGTAGAATGCCATGTTGTTTGATGGATTCTATGTTGGCACTTTGTCACTAGTCTCTATTCAATTGAAAATATTCTATCCGTTTTTTTATTTTTTATTTTTACCTTTTATCTTTGGGTATTGATGTATCAATGATATGCATGGTGGGTTGTAATTTTACTTGTTTGTTTATAAACAGACACAAAATATAGAGAAACAAAGCCTCAAAAACTCTAAACCAGTGATGGTAAGTTAGTAGGAAAATTAATACATATATCTTGAAATCCCACTCTAACATACACATGTGGTTTTCATATGTTTGGATTGAATGTAATCAGGCATGCTTTACTCACCCCATTGTGTGAATAATAAGTATTAGTATTAT